TGAAGTATTTAGCTTCAAAAGCACGATTGATAGTGAACTTAATATTTTAAATATTTAAAAAATTTTGAAATAACTAGTGGGGCGCATGGCATCCTGCCTTAAGGCAAATTGCTGAAACTTCCCGTTCTAAAAATTGCAAAAAGATTAAAATTAAAAAAAAAAATTACTCTGAAAAAATTAGATTTTTGAGAAACTATACATTTTTGACAAAAATTTGAAATTCTGAACTTTTTTTCAAAGCAATCGTATTGCTTTAACTGCATAGAGACGAAATATCGAAGCGCGTAAGCGCCGCGTCGCCGTCTATCGGATAAACATTGGTACGGAACCCATAGGATTGTAAACAAAATTTATACTTATTGTTAGAATCTCTATAAAATTCTGATAATTTGATGTGCATATGTCTAATGATCATTTTGGACCGCCAAATGGCATTTTTTTTGCTTTATTTTACTAGATCTCCGAAACCGCTAGACCTGCCTTCATAAAAACTTGTCAGTTTTTCAAATTACTGGTAATATTAGCAATGATAAACAGAAAAATATTATAACCTTTGTGTACCAAACAATAAAAATTGTCAGCAGTAATATTTCTCCCTCAAAATATCGAATATTCTGAAACATTTTGAAAATCAACTAGTCGAGTCGATTTTCATGTCATTGTATAACTTGCTTATCAAATTAACTTTATTTTCTGGACTAAAATAAAACTATGATCATTATATGACTGCAATTCATTATATTTTTATTACATTATCTTTAAATAACACAATTTCAATCTCTTAAACCAATACAATATATTGCTATTCGATAAATATAGAATGAATCACAACAGTTATCAATTTCAAATCAATTGGAAGCACGATTTACTTTATTTATTTAATCGTAGTAATTGCATTTTGATAATTATTTATCATTTTTTGTAACTGTTCTATTTCAAACAGTATTCATTATTGTCTCATATTTTAAAGAATCTACATTTTATAATAACTACAATATCTATGTGGATATTATACATTGGAAGACTAGTCGATATATTTTATAAACATTCAGATTAAGAAATATAATTACATTTAGTTATGTTCATAACAATTATTATTTATATCTTTTAATGTTTCTTATTTAGCAAATAATTTTTATAAATTATATACTTTTACAAACAACATAATACATAGGTTTCATTTGGAAGACATTTGTTTTCTTTGAAATTAAGTCTAGAATATATGATAAAATAGTATTCGAGTTATGAGTCTTGAAAAGCTCTAAAATACTCATTAATAAATTATAAGCGTTATTAAGTTATTGATTCTGACATCATATGAAATCAAAATGATTTAAATAAGTGTAAGGTATAAAATTAGCTACACTTAAAACTTTTACATTTTAAATTAATTATTTTAATAAACCTTTTGGAACAAAATTCTCCATATATTTGTTTAGAGGTTTTAAAAAAGTTTTAAGAATTCTTAATTCTTAATAAAAAAGTTACACTTTGCAACACAATATATTGAACGTAAACCATTTGCTTCTTTTAAACTATAATTTTCAATATTGGAGCTATACTCGATTAATAAATTTAAAACTTGTGTATTATCTACATCCTTTAAGTTTTCATAAAAAATATCAAATAATCATATTTTTATATTGTAGAGAATAAATAATATATCTGTATATAAATATATTATGTTTTGAATATTTTTACATTTTGAACACAAAATGCATTTTTAGAAATCTTCTTAAGTATTTCTCATATTGAAATGTTCTTACGATTTCTGGAAGACATTTTAAGTATACGAGAACATTTTATACATGTGAGCCTTAACGTAAATAATTCATATTAGCATATATGCTATATCCAATATGCAGTGGCGTCGGAACCGTGTGGGCTGTGTGGGCTTGAGCCCACCCATGAATTTTGATGGGGGGGCTCAGCCCGCCCATCAATTTCAAAAAATTATATGGGATAATATCTCTAAGAAAAAAAAACGAGACCACTGGCTGCCTATCTAAAAAAAAAAAAAAACGAGCCCACCCATCAAAAACTTGGTTCCGACGCCACTGCCAATATGTTATTCTATAATATGTAAATATTTTGGTGGATGTTCACGTAGATACATTATAAAAATTATAGCACCGTATAAGGTGCCAATTCTCAAGTAAAATAGATGGTTGTTATGACAACGTTATGTTACGTTCCTTTCTTCGTATAAAATGGTAGTAAAAACTGTCAAAATGCTATGTGCTTGATGTGCAATCAGATGATTCACACATAGAATCTATCTTCATGTATGTGTTATAAATGCACATCAGAAAGATGCAGTTATGATTCTTTTTATGTTTGTGCGTTGTCGGGTTATGTTTTATATCTAAAACGCCTGACTTTGCGAGTAAATACATTTCGATAGTTTATACTACCATTTTATATGAAGACAGGAGCGTAACATAGCGTTGCTATAAAACACGCTACATTACAGTCTATTTTATCTAAAAATGGGCCCTTAACTTTCGTAAAAAATGAAACATGATTTTAAACTATTATCTGCATGTTCAATAACATATAAAATATCTATAAAAATAATGAATAACATGTCCTAATATAAATGTATAAGGTGCGATTATAACATAACCAATTACTTTGTGTTTTTAAGTCGCCAATTTCATTATTTCCGAACACGATTAATCGACCAATTCTGCCGCATAACAGACTAATGTTATGGCAAGGCTATGCTATGAAGAACTTTCCACACTAAATTAGACAAAGGCCATGTGGTTGCTTTGCAGTCGGGCCGTTTTTCTCAGGTTAATAGAAGACCTAACCTAGAAACCGCACAAATGTCAAAAACAAAACGATTTTACATAACAGGGTCTTTCTGATCAAGCTTCATAACATACGCGTCACGTTGCAGTTTGTGTAAAACGCCTGAATGCACAGCAAATACATGACATTTTGACAGTATTCAGTATGATTCAGTGACATGAAGTATGGAAGTTGGAGCGTATCATGGCCTTGCCATAACATTTGCGGCAAAATTGGTTCATAAATCTAATTATGTGCAATTTTCTATTTGACATATTTTAAACAAGTCTGGTTTAGTCACCTGCTCATACTGAAAATGTATGTATCTGAAGACCACTTTCTTTATTATTGCCAATCTTATTTAATCTATCAAAAATTTTACTAATTCATGAACATCCATATACATATAGTTAACCACAATACTGCTCTTTTACTCATAAAGAACTTTACATTTGATGATGTTCAATTTTGATTCGTTTGGAACCAAGAGAAAATGATATCTAGGTAATACGAGTATATATCGTCTTACTTCACTATTAAATATATATTAATTCTGCTATTGAATATAATTTATTTAATTGGCGATTTGCGTTTTCAAAGTTCAGGCATGTATAATATTGACCGTGTTTACGTATTTGAGTATAATTCATAGATAAACAAAATATGTTTATTGTAATAATTACATATAAAGTCCACAAACAAAAAGTTGTCAGTATTATATATTGGGTGTTCGAAATTTGTTTCTCAATGTAGTTCTTACCCTTAAATGTCATTCAGGCAAAAAAGGCCAGGAAACTAAAGAAATTGTAAGATTTTAATAATTATGCAGAAGAATTACTAGATCAGGTATTAAGTCATTTTTGAATTTTACTCACTTTTTGTAGTTTGACCCTAATTTTGACTTCAGATTCGAAGTTTAAGGATAAAAACTACATTGGAAAACATCTGTCGCACACCAAAAACAGACAACTTTTTTTCTGGACCTGTGTTATTAGAATTTTCTTAATGCCAACAAAAAATATTTTTGTTAAAATGAATTTGTAGATATGGATTGCATAAGGTGCGAATCATAATTCAACATCATTTCAATAACAAACACCAACATCAATATAAAACTTTAAATGGAAGACCTATCTCGAATGCTTTTATCAGAGCAGTTCCAGA